AGAGTGAGGTGAGACAGACAAGATGATCGCGGATGATTTAGTTTCGAAACAAAATGCAAAAGCGCCTGTTTGGCATTAATTTTGGATTTTTAAATAAGCCTGTTGACTTTTGCCGTTTATCTAAGGTGATTTTAGAATTTTTTTTTAAACATTTGTTTCTTATTTAATTGGTTCCACATTGTTTGCTGATTTTTACTTTATTTAAACTTTGTGTCATTTATTTATTTTATTTGACATCAAGGTGTATGCCGTGCCTCCAAGCTTTCTTACTCGTTTTGCTAATAAGCTTTCTACGTTTCTTATTTATTTGGTTATATACATGTCTATTTCCAGTATTTCCAGTTTTGTATACCTATTTAAACTTTATGTAAGTTATTTGTTATTTTATATTAGGCCCTATAGCCCTATAGCATGGTGCATTTTTATTTGTTTTGTTCATTCTAAAGGGCTGGGCGATATATTTAAAAAAATGATATCTCGATATTGTCAAAATGTTTACGATATACATCTCGATATGTTTGCATTTGCTTTTAAATAATAAAAAAAAAACATGATTTTCTTTTGCCCCCATTAAAAAAACAACAAAAACAATTTAGATAGAACAGCTATTGTTACAAAGTAAATACAAAATGTTTAGCTCTCCTCACTGGAGAAATGAAATCTGATCTGTGATGCAACTGTCGTCACGCTGCATTGAGCAGCCGCGTTCAGTTTTTAATTGTAGTGTCTGTTCTTTTACTGAACTAAATGATTTTTATTAATATACAAAATCAATACGACGGTGGGGGTCGGTGACGCGGTGGGCAAGTGACGTAACCGATGTTGCGGCTTAACACCGGTATCACCGTCAACACCGTCTACAAGCCTAGTTCAACCCAGCAACAAAAAGGAGAGAAAGGCCCTCAGGGTTTAGGATGACAATCTTACCAAACCTGTCCCAACAAGGAGCAGTGGAAAAGTCACTCATCCCGGGCCCTTACAAAACAAAAATAGGCAGCATTTTTTTTAAAGAATTGTTTCATATACATGCTAAATAGTAGGGGTGCAACGGATCGTAGATGATCCGTGATCCGTACGGATCAGGCTGCACGGTTCGGCACGCATGTGATTCGTGGATTAACTGTTAAGTTTAACCACCATAGAGTGAAAGTTTATTATTTGCATGTTTTGTCTTGCCAGTTTACACGTTCAAGCAATTTTAACTCGCGCGCTGTTTTCTGTGCACTCAGCCGCTGCCGCACACACCCGGTGCGCGCACACGCGGAGAGAGAGAGACATTGCGTGAACAGCGAATTGATTCCTCTTTCACATACATACAAAGTTATTTTAAAATACCCGTTTTGGCAAGTATTCTAGTAAATACAGTCGGTTATGTCTCAAGTGAACGTAAACAGCTGAGAAAGAAACCAGATGTGTGTCAGTATTAGGTCCGTGCATTTGGTCTTAAAGAGACAGCAGCCAATAAATACCTGTTCAGGGCTCCAGACTGCGACCAAATGGTTGCATTTTGCGACCATTTTTTCTGCCGGTGCAACTAATTTTTGTGAGCGGTCGCACTGGCGCGACCACCACGTTGTTCAACTCATAAGCGCTGCCATTCTGTTCCATTCAAGAAACATCAAACGGCAAACGAAACGAAAGTGAAACTAAACCACGCTACGTTTCAGCTGAGCAGCGCGGACCATTTATCAGCTCGCACCGCGACGCAAACAAATTTGTCCGAGCTCAGAACAGCTTTACTCGGTAGCCAAAGTTGATTTCGCGACACTGTTACTGCACAGATGCAACAGTGCTGCGATATCCAGTGAGGAGCGTTTGAATTCGCCACACAATGATAAGGTTGCTGCGAGATCTAGTGAGAATCATTCAAATTCTGCACAGAATTCT